ATATCTAATAATGGAATGGCTGTTAACCTTGATTTTCAAACTAAGCTCCTTTCACTCGCTTCCGAGGGGAGTGTCTTGGAGGCTATAGAAGCTACGATCAGAAGCCTTAGGAACTCTTTTCAACTCCAGCCGCTTCTCATGTTTTGTTTTGCATATTTTAAGATATCCCATGATTATAGACCCAGCTGCTAACAGTTTGAAAGTGCTTGGTTTTGAAGCTACTTGGGCCCTGAGTGGATCCTGTTGGAGGTGAGGGGGCTGTGAGAAAGGGACACGGGTGTGAATGAGAGTGAACAGAAATGAATGATCTCAGAGACCAGGAGTAGGTTAGTAGGGCCGGGTGGCAAGCCAGCATCCTGCTTTATAGTCCAAATGGGTTATGGAGGCTGCAGGGAGGCGGGCAGAGACTAGATTGTAGGGAAGGGGCTTCCTGTCTTCAGTGTTTAGGGGTTTCAGCAGGGCTTCAGGGCCCAGCCACTTCCCTCAGCAGACTCAAGGCGCAGGGAGCGAGCCCTCCAGGTGGTCCAGCGCAGGCAGGAGATGGGATAGGGAGGGGAGAATGTGTTCTTTAGGTACAGAATTCTTGACCACAGGGTCCAGAGGCTCTGGTCCAGTCACAAGGAAACTGTGCATGCCTACAGCCTGGGCACCCTGGTAATCACAGCGGTAGCTGTCTCCAACGTGGGCTGCCACTGCAGGCTCCACGTGAGCAAGCTGCAAAGCCTTGTGGAAAATTCGGGGGTCTGGTTTCGGCCAGCCGGCAGCCTCAGAGGTCAGCACAAAGTCGAAGTGTTCCCGCAGGCCAAGGCCCACCAGGATGCCGTCTAGCCGCCGGTCGAAGTTGGAGACCACGGCCATCCTCAGACCTCGCTTGTGGCACTGCATCAGGGTGGTTCTGGCCCCCTCCATCACTTGCCAGGTACAAGGGCTGCTGAAGTCCTCATACAACTGGTCAGCAATGGGGGCCACAGCCTGCACGTCGCGAACACCCGCCAGGTAGAAGGTCTGCCGGACCACATCCAGCCACCACTGGCGGGAGGTGAGGCCGCAGCTCAGGCCGTAGTTGGGAAAGCTGTGGCTCTGAGCTTTGTACGCCTGCCTGAAGGCTTGCCCCAGGGCTGCAGGCTCTACCTGCAGCCCGTGGGCCCGGGCCTTGGTGGCATACTCCTCACCCACAGGTTGGCGAAGCCTGAGCAGTGTGTCCTTTACATCCCAGGTCATCAGCCGTATCTGCAGTCGGGATGCCATGGGTGTGCAATAGGAGGCCAAGTTCACTCTAATTTTACTTCAGGTCCCAGGGGACAAAGGGAAACCGAGCTGGTCAAGATCACCCCTCCACAACCCACAAGTCTTCTCTTTCCAGGCCTTATGGGTCAGACTTACTGGCTGACATGGGGCTCCTGGAGAACATCTTCGCAGCAAAGGCTCCTGGAACAAGAGACAGCAGATGAGCTGGAAGTTCAGGACTTGGAGGCTGACCAGGTTCAATTCTGGCTCTGCTAACTTACTGTGTGACCCTATGAAAGTAGCTCACTCTCAATCTCTGTCTCATATGTAACATGAACACAATGACACCAAACTCAAGAGACTTCAGGACTAAATGAAATCATTCATTCATTCCACAAAAATTTTCTAAGCCCTATTATTTGCTAAGGAGCACTAGTGGTACAGTGGTTAAGGTTTTTGGCTGCCAACCAAAAGGTTGGTGGTTTGAACCTATCAGCTCCTACACAGAAGAAAGATTAGGCAGCCTGCTTCTGTAAAGATTTATAGCCTTGGAAACCCAATGGGGGTTGCTATGAGTCAGAATCAATTCAATGGCAGTGAGTTTATTATTATAATCTGCTAGCTTTTGGGGAACAGGGCAGATTTCCAGCCCTAATGGCAGTTACAGACATTAAAGAACAGAGGATACGGACACCAGACAAAGAATTACATAAACACTTAAGCATTATTAAAGCAGGATGTACCAGGAGTCTGTAAATACAGGGGCTAATCTAGTCACTGTTGTTAGAGAAGGCTTTCTTCCTAAAGCAATGGTGTTTCAATGAAGATCTGAAGAATGTGTGGGAAGTGGAGGTGCCTGAGGTTCCTGCCAAGTGCAAAGGCCCGAGTCTGGTGTTTTGAGTAGGTAGGGACTAGCTCAGGCAGGACCTTGTCAGTCAAGGGAAGGAAACGATTATTATTACTGTTATTAGCAATGTCAAAGAGAATAGAGTCCTTGTAGACCATCTGAAGAAACCTCACCATTCAGTAGGGAAGACTAAGGCAGAGAGCAGACACTAGCCTAAGGTCACAGTTTGTCAGCAGACAGCCAGGACTAGAACCCAAACTACAGACTCCGGCCATTGCTCCTTTCCACTACACTATCCATGCTTAGCCACAGCTGGATTTTAAAAATAAATAATCTGATTTTGGCAAACCCCTACAGCACAGGAAAATAGGACGAAGAAGACTCGTCCCACTTGATCTCTAACCCTCCCAGCCTCTTCACTTTTACTGGATTG